CATTTATCCTAGGTTCTATTAAGAAATTACCTTTATTTTTTTTGACAATAAATACTTATTGTGTTATCTTTTATTTTTTTTACAAGAAAAATATGATACTTGTTGATTTATCTTTTCTTTTTTTTTTGACAAAAGAAGATGTTGTACTATATTTTTTTTGCTTGTTGTATACTTTTTTTTTTTTTACAAGAAAATAAAAAAATGATGCTCCCAAAGTACATTTTATTTTTTTATGCCTTTTTTTTTTATATTTTTTTTGCAAGAAATACTTGTTATATTACCTTGTATTTTTTTTTACAAAAAAATAAAAAAATGTTGTATTATCTTTTTTATCTTTATCTTGAAAAACCTTTTTATTTTTTATTTTTTATATTTTTTTACAACGGTATTTTCTGCCTTTGTTTATTTTTTTGACAACAAAAATAAACGAGGACGCACGCTAAGAGGTTTGAACTCTAGACGTTCGTCGAAAAATCAAATATATCAATCAATACCGCCACGTCGCCTAATGTAATTTTATTAGCTTCTATAATAATATATATTCAATCGTCTTGCTTTAATGATTTTTTGTGGGAATTATCTCACATCGAAGGAAGAGCGTCGCTTTGTTCTCTATAAATTCCTATGTAATAGACGTTGTATTGCGCGTGTAGAAAAGCGAGGGAGCAGACATGTGAGGTGAGTTACCACGTGTGGAGGATTTTTAGGTGCCACGTGTTGCTCCCGTGAGGCGGCCCCTTGTAAACCCAAAAATTACTAGAATGCCCAGGTTTTTTCGGTGAGACTCGCGATTCACTATTGGGAATAGCCCGATTCTCTCTGGACACGGGGGATTTCCGATTTTTTCGTGAAACCGGCTCGGTTGCATACAATTCCCGAGTCGAACTGGGCGAGTCCGGTTCGACTCGGTGAGTTTTCAAACCCTGGATGGAACTAATTATTATTATGTGCTCCACATTGGACAGCTGAATGAATGCATAGCATTTGGCAAATAAAAAACCGTTAGTACTTAAAATAAGCTTCCAAAATTTTTATCAGCATATATGATGTTTTTAATTTAAAAGCATCGCATGATTTGATTCTTCACAATTTATAGGCTATTTGTTTTCAACGTCTAAAAACACCCCTCCTTCCACATAAATTACTAACATCCTTGGACCAAAATTCCAAATAAACCTTACATAGGCTTCTTTAGCCAAAATCCCATTGTGGACCACACTAAAAAATGTAGCCCATAGCTTATTTCTACACCATGATCCACCCATCATAAAACATCCCAAGACTTCCAAGTAAGCTTCATTATTAGGGGATTACACATCCATTAGAGCCTAAGCCTGCTTAATGTACCTGGACCATATTCAAGCCACTTAAACCTACCCAAAATGTCCTAATCAACCCCTAGCTCTCTTTAAGCTTTAATTATACCCTACTCACCTCAATAAAGCTCATAATGACGCATATCCAAGGTCAAATAGCCCAAGAGTGAGTTTTTTTTGTGAACTTTTAACTAGCCCAAGAGTGAAAGTTTTAAATGGATTAAGGGACATGGTTGTGCAATATGGGCCCACTGTTATCCAACGATGCAAAGTGCACCGTTTGTGAAAAAACAAATCCATGAGATCTAACCTTGGACCTTAGATAACCAAGAACATAGACCCCATCCTTGAGCCCTTGAGACCTGAAACTAGAAATTTCATACCCTGTCTAGACCCCCTAAAGCCTAAGTTCAAGTCCCAAAACCTCTAATAGGTACCCCATCATCTCCATACCACTATCAAACTAGGGATACTAAGCCTATAGTATAGAGAATCCTAGACCTTTAGGACAGTAACTTTGAGTGAACCCAAAGCAATCGAGCTCCAATAAAAAAAGAATTCAAGAATTTGAAAGGTCCGGACACAAAACTTGCTAGTTTGATCTAGGCCCCACTCGGTGCGCCAGGCCCATGGATCCAGCTTAATAAGTAAATCACTTTTCTTTTAGTTTTCTTATGCTTCCAATGTAATGCATGCTATTTGTATACTCTATTCCATTCGAAAGTCCTCTTTCAGGCCTGTTTTCTTTTGATTTTGGTGCATCCTTATCCGTGGAGCCGGTAGACCAAGGAAGTAAACCAAGAGGTCCACTTTCAGTGTAACAACGATTTATGGTTGTATATCTTTTCCAGTAAATAAACATAATTTTGTGTCGAAAGAAAACCCATTTCTCCCTTTGTTTACATCTCATGTGAAACCATTTTGTAGGTTTTTATTCTGTTTTACTCAATTTATACTCCGACGAGATGATGAATCTGGTTCATAGGGAGGACAAAAGTGAGCCATGGAGCAGTGGTTTTAGAGACTCAAACTCGGGGCTTGGGCCCATCTGAGTCCAGAGCAATACCAAGAGCCGCCTTTCAAATCTGAGATCTATTCCTTTCATGAGAAGTCCCCCTTTTAGACGATTTTTCATGCTATCGTGCTATACACATGCTACAAGCCCAAAAGTTTTACCTATCTATGTTTCACTTAGGGCTTGGTTTAATTATGGATGGGTTTCCAAGAGAGAGAGAGAGAATGAGTGGCCATGAAGTGACTGTGTTTAAAAGAGAGAACATGGATGAATTTTTAAGGGAATGGGAGAGAGGGCCTTGGTATGCTAAGAGAAGAAATATAGATGGGTTTTTAAGTGTGAGGGGCGCTCTGGATGTTGTGCCCAAGGTGGGTGTAAAAGGGAATGAAAGAGGAAAAGGATCCAACTGCCCCACCGAAACATTGCTGATATGGCTTCTAGGTCATTCAGCGTTTCTGGCCGGAATCAAATTCGCCAAAAACTGGCCGGAAGAGAGAGGTTAGGAGGTCATTTTAGGTTTCTTCATGAGAGGTTTTGATGTAGGAGGGGCATTTCATCATACCAGAAGGCTTTATGGGTTTTCACGAGTGGGGGATTTTTCAAATGAGAGGGTAGAAAGGCAAATGTAATGCAAAAAAAAAGCTCATGTGGGGTTTTTAAAAATCGAATTTCAAAAATTTCGGGGGGTCGGCCGGCTTGCTATGGGTGAGGGGGAGAGTGAGATCTCAGGTGGAGGGCCAAGTCCAAATTTCACAAAAGGGAAAAAAAGAATAAAGAAAAGGTAAAATGCCCAAACGGGCACCTATCCATATGTAGCCATGTGGTTCACCAACTTAAATGTATCCGGGGAAAGTTTAGCATGGAGCTGACTGGGAGCACACATAATTGCATGATGATTGCTTGAAGTAAATGTTTACACCGTTTTGAATGCATGCAATGATAAGTCGATGATAGAGAAAAAAAAAAGAAGGAAAAATGCTATGGAAGTATTGTTTTATACCTAAGTTTTAACTCAAGAATACAACGATGGTAAATAAAAACATTATAGAAACCTAAGCAGATGCAGGTACAGGCAACAGGCCATTGTGCCTGAGCAAAGCATCTGGAGAAGGTTCCCTCCCTCGGAATTCCACAAAAACCTGAACAATATAGCCACAAAAGACAGTTATAATATTGTGCAGAAATTTTATGTTTACAAGAACATAAATGAATATCACTAGCACTGAGGATCTCACCCAAAAATTGAATGCCAAAAAATTAAAAACAAACAAAACTAAGGGAAAAAAAAAAGAATCAGTACCAATTAAGTGATACGTATGGCTTTGTGCCTAAAATCTAAGTTCTCGGTGTTATGCATCATGATGCTGAGAAAACATGCAATGTATTTATATTGAAACCTGTTCCCCGCCTGTTGGGAGTGGGGGAGATTGAAAATAAGGGTGAATTTAAAAGAAACAGCAAAAGATTTTGAAGGAACTCAATCTAGAGAAGGGTTATAATGAACTCTTGTGCATACTGCTATTCCAACATGCCACCTAGCCAATGACATGTAGATTGCTTTGGAAATCAATGGAAAGTAACTTATCTAAGAAGAAAGCTAACGAAACTAAATGTTATGGTAATGTTCTCGGAAGCCAATGCTTTCCGATAAGCACATTGAAGGAAGGTTCGATGTGAAGGATGTAGAACCTAACTATTTGGAATACGGGTCCGATCTTGAGGGTGAGAGGGATGATTCCTAAAGATTGCCTTTGAGCTCTGTCATATGCGGCAACCGTGATGTTTGAGGAAATCAACATATTTGATTATAGGAGCTGGGTGTGTCGTGGGGGATCCCCTAGAAGAGAAAAATATATGGATATTGGACTGAATCAGAGGTATGTGGATTAGAAACGGGTTAGATCTGAGGCTGAGCTATATGTATGAGACTAGAGAATAGAACCTCTAGCTCTGTTAAAGGATACAAAAGAATCTAGGATTTGGATATACTTGTATCTGTAAGATGGATCGTAAATTCGTGTCTAGAATTTAATATGTGAAAATAGGAGCCCTAAAGGCCAGAACTAGGCTTTTGAGAAAAATGGGGGTATTTTGGGAAATTGAGAACCTAGGGGTTTAAGCGCTAATAGATCTTTTAGTTTCAGACTCTCTTCGCTAGTTCTCATCAATTTAAACTAAATTTTAGGAGTATTGGATTTTCTTCCCTATAATATTCTTTCTACATCAACCGGTATCAAAGCGTCGGGTTTTTCATCTCGGTGATTTCTTCCTAGGGTGAATCCATGGTAGCAAGAAAGGGGTCGAAGAAAAGGAGCTGTCGTAGATCTAACTTGCAGTGCCAGATATGAAGAGATTGAAAGTCTGAGAGGGTATGTTTAGCAGTTTGCACAACAGCTCGTAGACATCACTAATGAGCAAGACGGAAATCTTTTGGCCAAAAAGATGTCAAATACAATCTTTTTCACCATCTTGCTCAGCGTGAAAAAAAGAAAAGTGATAAGACCCAACTTGGGGAACATCACTTTAGGATTTTCGATTTGAATGTGGATATTCCTGATTTTGACACATGTATCCAAAATCAGCAAGTTGTAGATTGGAATTTGCCACCAATCTTTGATGTATATGTTCAAATGAAGAACATGATCTTATAGGAGATCTGATCCATAATAATGAACACGATTTCATGGTTTAACCAATCTTGACGAAGAAAAGACGGCTCCAAGGAGAACCAATAGGTGAAGTTATTAGTTCGAGCATCACAACAAGTACTCATCTTGAAAATGCACCCTCGGTCTGTTCTAGGACTGAGCCAAGGCAATTTCAGCTAGTCTATGTGACTAAATAGAGTAGATATATCACAATTATTCTGTTGACATATAATGATCCTTTCCTTGAGGATTTATCAGAAGCATTTATGAATATATCAACTGACTACAAAGGGTAATTCGAATGCAGAATCGTTGTGTTTCAATACACAAGTTCCAAGATCATGTTTACAGTTCTAAGGTTAAAGAAGATCATGGGCTTAGCAAAAAATTCCTCTTAGCCTAGTTCAAAACTCGAAGACGTGTTTCTCCAACCAGGGGAGATTGATGCAAGACAAGATGGCTCTTATTTTGGAATTTTTCTATTTAAATTTAACGGATGCATTTTTTGAGAAATTTATGGTTTATTTTTAGGGTTTTTAAGTTTTTTTAAGGATTCTAGGATTTTTTATATTTTTAAGATTTTAGGAATTGTTTAGAAAAGTAGTTCTAGTGATCATGAAATTATTTGTTTAGCATGGGTAAAAAATATCATTACAAATTTTGTTTTAATTAGAGCTTCAACTTCTATAAGAGTTCGGAGTTCTCAAGTTCCAAGTAAGGTCTTTTATTATTACATAGGGGTCTATGTAGAGAACTTAGAATAGAGAATGTAGTTTTGAGTTTTTTTTTTTCTAGTTTAACTAGTGCAGAGCTATTGAAGCCTGAAGCCTAACTTGTAGGCTTCCTCTTAATTTTTGCAATCAAAAGATTATTGGATTTTCTTCCCTATTATATTCGTTCTACATCAGCCTCCAAGCATGTCAAATTGGCAATTTGTAGTAAAATGGCAATAACTTTCCAACTTTCAGATCGAGCTAATGTTTGAACCATTGGAAAGTTGATTCATCACAACAATTTAGAGTCGGCTACACGAATCCTGGTCCGTAATTCTGCTCTATCAAGGGCCATACCCTTAGTGAGACAATAAGTCCCCATATCTTGTTTCATAGCTTCCAACCATGTCCCTTTAGGTTTACCCCTTGCCTTATTTAAGTCTTACCCATTCACACCTCCTAACAGGTGTTGTACTGAGACTGTGTTGCACATGGCCAACTCACTTTAGTCTATTTTCTATCATCTTATCACTTATTGGAGCCACAACTAAATTTTCCCCAATGCATTCATTTCAAATTCTATCCATTCTTGTCTTGCCACTCATCCATCTCAACATCCTCATCTCAAGTACACTCATCCTATGAGTATGTTGTTTCTTAATCGCCCAACATTCCGCCCCATAAAGCAAAGCTCGTCTCACAACTGTCCTATTGAACTTCCCCTTCAGCTTCATTGGTATGCAGCAATCACATAAAACTCTAGTTGCATATCTCCACTTCGCCCACCCAGCTCTAATTCTATGTACGACATCTTCCTCAATCTCTCTATTTTCCTAGATTATCAACCCAAGATATTGAAAGTGTGCTCTTTTTGGTATTTCTTGACCGTCAATCTAAACTACTTCCTCGTCTCTACTCCTATTACTAAACTTGCACTCCATATACTCTGTTTAGTTGATTCAATTTCCTAAAACTAATATAATTTTGAGGCCAAATAGGTATAGTTTTCTTTGAGATAAATTCTATGTTTAGGAAATTTCATGGATGGGAAGTTTCAAGGGGTATTTAAGAACTCTTCATGTGATCTAAAAAAAGAATTTCATGAGCAGGAACGTACGCCACTCAAATATTAGGTGCTTAAATTTCTGAAGTCTACAGTGAGATACACAAAGCAATAAACCAACCCCTACGAAAATTATTCCGAAGGACCCATGTGAGACAAGACTTTTATGTACCACACGGCTAAGCTGTAAATGATTTATGCAGAACATATGAAGGTGAAAACTGCAAAGTAAGTTATTTAGTTTCTTCTTCAGCTATATTCTCTTGGAGAATCAGAAATAATACGGTAAAGCATTATTTAATTTAGGGCCGTGATTTCATGCAACGGTTGTATCATAGTATAATGCAACCAAACTTCCAGAAACCCATGTTTGTGGTATTTGTATGACTCAAAATTTTTCACACACACTCTCTTCATCTCAATAATCAATCTCAAAAAACAAAAGTTAGATTTGAACCCTAGATATGGTCAAAATGAGTGTCCTCCAACAACAAATCTAGACCATTCATTTGATAAATTTCAAGATCATAGATAGCCTTTACAAACTCAAAATCACTTTATGTTTTAAACATTGTTCATCTAATGCTAATAAAGCCATCTAAAAAAATTGGAAACGAAAAAAAATCCTTCTAAAGCCTAAATCTACCCATCTTACCAAAATGGACAGCTTATGTTAATTGGGCTAAAAAATACTTTCTAGGTTCCATTTCAAAAATTTTCTTTTTGTGATTGTTCATTAGAATGAAAAGAGTGTATATTTCAAAACTTGGATCAAACAAATGGCCCTAACATAGTTTTTGAAGATTTTTGCATTATATTACTATGCAACCGTTTCATGAAATCATTGCCCTTTAATTTATTACGTTATGGTACAACATTATCAGCTACATTACTAGTACACTGATATGCATGTAAAGCATCGCCCAGAGACACATTACAATTTCTAAGTCGTAGAAATGTCTATACTGTATAGACTCCAGAGGTTCATTTCAGTATCACATTGTCTCCAACACTGAACCCTAAATTAAAAAGAAACACAAAGCCCAAAGGGGATAGGTGGGAATGGAGTGACTGAAATAGGATGATGGGCTCCCTTTACAAGACATTTGGTATCAAAATGAAATAAAAAAAATAGAACATTATTGTGAGGGGATTGATTTTAAGAGGGCATGGGCATCATGACTATGCTTTTATCCCTTGTGGATATTATTAAGTCCGAGCATAATTGCAATTTTAACCGCTTGTAAAAGATAATTATTTCTTTCACGGTATTATTAAATGTGTTTATCAAAGAAAAAGAGATGCAACAGGTAACCAAATCAATCAAGAGTTTGCTTTCTGCAAATACCTGAAGTGGAGGACTTCCTCCCCCAAGAGCAAGAATAGTTTCCCGAAACTTGTGACCTGTTTCTTTGACAGCCTAGCGCAAGAAACAGATAAATCAATATCTTATAAGTAAAGAAGAAGCTACAACAACCAGTAGACCAGCCAAAAGTAAAATAAGCTCTTCAGGCAACCACCAAGAACATAGTTTTTGAAGCAGGCAATAGAAAACAGCCTATATTTAGTCCAAAAGCAATGTTTTTCGACTCAAATGTGGCCCAGTCCCAAGTTCCTATTCCCAAGCTGAGAGATAGTGATAGTCTATTAAAAATTTAAGGCAGAATGGTGAGACTCGGCAATTTTTGTATAACTCATCAAGAAACGCTATGCCGCCAAGTCAAATTGATACAGTTGATAGTCAACAGATGATCACCTGGGTCAACTCCCGAGTTTCAAAACCTTGGTCCAAAGAGAGTATATCATTACTATAAAGCATGTTCTCATATAATATTGAAGAGCTCCCACTAGGAATGAAACCTCACTACATTTTCAATCAAAATAGTTTACAACGAAGGTGTCAACCTTGAATTCCAAAGTAGGATGTTTAGTCACAATCTCGTATGCTGCATTTCACCCCATTTATATCAGTAAGAGTGATCAACTCAAGAACATACTATAGGGTAAACAAAGGATACAGTCTTTTTATGGGTAAAGGTAGTGGACTACATGAGTGGTCAATAGGGATCACTAATATATTCTTGACTACAATAACGACATGTAAAATGCCAGATACTCAGTTGTCAGCAACTGGATATCGATAACTTCCCACTAGTACTAGTTATCAATACTGAGCTGGATCATCGTTGAATCACCCTCACATGCAGACAACTTCAAGTTCAACTCAGGGAGCATATCTAACATTCTACTTTAAAAAAAGGATCTATCATCTCTATATGCCTCTGTAAAAAATCTATATTGATGTTGCATGAGCAAGTACTCCCGAATATACTGAAGTCCATAAGTTGTCTTTCAAAGGAGAACACACCACAAACAATCTTCCACTACAAAACCCAAAGGAAATCATATTGGATCCACTAATCCAAGTCTCCAATGAAGAAATGAATTTTTCCCACACATCTTTAACACTGTCCAATTTTCCAATGCCACAACTACCGCGATTATGTCCTATGATGGTCTTGGCAACAAAGAATATTTTCTGCTGAAAATCCATTCCATCTTATTCAGTGTATCAAAAAGCCATTGAACTTGCTATATGCCTATACAAGGACTGGCCCAAGATAATAGTTACATCCAGCGTCTAAGAACTGGACTCAGGCCAAGATTCGCCAGGATCCCAAGTCAAGTCATCCGATCAACTCGGCTAAGTTTGAACAAGACTTGGACGAGTATGTAAAAACTAACAAAGGGAGACAGCAAGGTCAGACTCCAGGAAGTCCCTAGTTCCAGGCTCAGGAGTCACCAGGTTCCTGAGCCAAGCTCACCTGAGTTGACTTAGCGAGTTTTAGAACGCTGCTTTCACCTTGTAGACTTGTTCACATCCCATTTTCTGCTTTCCTGTTGATAGTGAGCAGACAATGATTCAGTGCTGGCAGTTTCCAACAAGGTTGAAAATGGTCCATGTGTCCCATTTTATGGTTCTCTTACAACCAGAACTTTGAATATGGCTATATCGGTTTCCTCTTACTCTAATGCGTTGACCAAGAGCCCAAAGGCATTTGAATGCATGTCTCACACATGACCCTCCTTTTGGTTTTCAAGCTGTACAATTCTATCAAATCTGCCTCACTTTTGAACTGATATCTCTGAATGAGAATCAGCTCCAGGCAACCAATAGAATTAGGAAAGACAGGTTTCATAAAACTAAAATCACATGTGTTAATATTAATTTTTAGAGAAGAGATTCTCATTCATGAAAGAGGGGGTCTTATGTACAAGTGGGAGTGCACAAGGAAACCATAATAACCCCTAAAGGTTTAAACCAATATCAGATTCACTTCACTTCGGCCAAATCAGCCGAAGTTTTCGGGTTCAGCTCCAAAACTGAAGCCAAAGCAAATTACTCCCCAGTAAATGGATTAAGAAGACAGAAAACTGCCATAGTATTTTGACAAAACATACAATCTGATTGTCAGTGATACCACAGCAAGAGAGCTATATGCAACAAGATGCCAACAATGAGGTCTTCAAGTAAAAACGTAGAAGAGCTCTTGAGGTCAAGACGAGAGAAATAAAGCACGCTCATATGAATATTCGAAGACAGTGCCTAAATAAATACTAACAGAGTGCTCTTGAAGAGCTCTTAAGGTCAAGACAAGAGAAATAAAGCATGCTCATATGAATATTCAAAGACATAGCCTAAATAAACACAAACAAAGTACTCCATGATAAGCACTGTGTCATATTTGCAAATGCTGTCTACCATGTGTTTAAAGGCATTTTTCAGCACCTTGGTCCCTGATGCAG